ATTAGGACACAATTTAAAAATTGCACTCAGGATACTGAGGGGGGGGAGGGAGAAACAAAACATCTGATGCCAATTTTGAGTTCAATGACCATGCAATCATATTTATAGACTCCCCCCCCCCCTCCCAACATGCCTGGGTGACCATTTGGGACAAATATATTAATGTGTGGCCTCTTTGATAGTGCTGTCTGAGTATATTTGGGAATTATATGTTAGAGATGAGCTCCACATAGTCAAATCCCACTGTTTGGTTATAGTAGCCCAAGAATTGTGATTAGTGCTTTTGACAAGCTACCTTCTTTCTATTCTGTAAGTTAAAAATTAGGGATGACTAATGCAGGTAGCCTTTCGAAAGCTTTCTGGAAGTATCAAAAATAAACCTTTAAATTACTTTGTTGTTGAAATGAAATGTTTAAAAAAAAAAATTGAGTATTATGAAGAGAGAAAACTTCCTTGCTTTGACAGAATTTATCATGACACTTAAGATAATTTGGTTGGTGCTTTAATAAATACCTTTTAGTATATGCCAGACACTGGTTAAATTTTTGAAAAATGTACTGATATGGTTAATATTTCAAAGAAAAAGGTAAAAAGACCTGGAGAGTTATAAACTTCTTTGAATTGTATTGTTAAAATCATTGTCAGAAAACATAAATAAAATTGTTGAAAGGTGGCATATGATAATTCTCAACATGGATCAAGAAAGAGTTTTCTTATTTCAGTAGTTAGTTTTTTGATGAAGCTTCTCTGTTTTGTAAAGGTTAATTAGAAAGTTAAATTTCTGTGGCATTTTTAAAAAACATTTAATGAGGGTAGAAGATCAGCTTTTGGTAGATAGCAGAGGGTATTATTCTGATATGTTATTAGAAATAGAGGAAAATTGTCTGTTTTGAGGCTTTTGATATTTATGTTGATAATTAGGATGTTTGGCTAAAAAGTTACCCAAGTGAACTGAAGATAATAAAATTCAGAGCAAGTATGATAATGAGGTATGATAATTAGCTGCCAGATTTCAGCCATTTCTATTGTTAGATTGGATATGCACTCAATTCATTCAAATCTTGTGACAAAAATGGTGGAGGGTGGGCCAAGTTCAAAGTGCTAGTACTAATAGACTCAATCTGAGATTGCATTGTCTACATTGGTTTTTACACTACAATGAAACTGATATGTGAGGCTCTTTTAACTAACTGATTGATGGACACCTGACTAATCTTATAAAATCTTTTCAAGCTAAAGTTATCTTGGAAATGCATGAACTGCCTAAAATGCAATGATGGACAATCAGGAAGGATCAACATAGAGGTAGCCTTTAAATCTCTCATCATTTGCCTTAATGGCATGTATTTTTTTTTTGCCCACATAGAATTACATAGAACAGACATTTTTTCTCATCTGTCATTTTTATGTGCTGGGACCCAAGACTTTCATTTGCTGTTCTGGATAATATTGAGAATAATCTGGACAGTCTCAGTAAGTGGGTAAGAGCATCAAAATTCTTTGTTTCAAATAAGTGTAAAATCATACTGTATTAGTATGTACTCATTTGGAAAGAATATCTTTTACATGAGAAAAACTGATGCTGTAAAAATAGAGAGAAATTGTGACTAGTGAAAAATCTTGAAACTTCTAACCAGGGAAGGAATATTTTTGGAAGGGGTGGGGAAATCAACACACTTATTATAATCAACTTTACTTCTATCCAGCCCTGATTATTTAAATATCTGTCAAGTCTTCCTGTAAACTTACTGCATCCACCACATTTGAAGGCAACCTATTCCAAAGGCCAATTACCCTTTAAAAAAATAAAAGACTCTAAGCTGAATATGAAAACTCATTCACCAAATGATTTATAACATTCTGTAAAGCTGAAGCATCTTCTCAGTAGCCAGCAACACTCAAGACCTTAATATCAGTAAATTTAATCAGCTTATTGACCATTCCTTTATGTCATTGATGTAAATCAAAAAGAACAAATGCCCCAACACTATGCTTTGAGGTAACCTACTTGTAACATGAGCCCAGTTTGACTGAGTTCCGTGTATAATAACCCCATAAGTCATGTTATTATATCAGTTGATTTGAGCATAGTAGTAGCCTGCAGGGCAATTGGTGTGTTACATTTGGTGAGTGCAATAGGATCTGCTAAAGTTGATGTTAAAATTGCAAGCGAGTAGTGATTGTGCTAGTTTCTAAAAAAACTTGGGGAATGACATTTTAATGCAGAGCCCAGCACTGCTGGGATGCTGACTTGAGCTGTGCTTCAGTGATTATTATTTTGTCTGCACATGTGTGCAGCAAACAGTCATGGCCAGGGATCAAGTACACATACTTTGGAGATAACTGGTACAGACTTGGCCATGTATTGTTGGGTAAAAGAATGTGAAATATTGGTGCATTGTTATAGAATTTAATAATAGAGCAAAAAATGTCAGAATTTTAGTAAAGCAAGAATTTTCCTCAAATAAACCATATTGAGTATCTGAAAAAGTTTAAACTTTCTTAAGTGACTTAGTAGTTTTCCATTATCCTCCTTCCCAGTTTTAACAACTTTTAAAAACATATATGTAAATATGCATTTTATTCATATAGTAAAAATTACCATTTGCTAGGGTTTAACGGAACATACCAATGACTTTGCAAAGCATATTTTATCAGACTAAAAGTCTTTTATCATTTGTGATGTAAGACCTGGACAGTCTTTCACCTACCTTAAAATGAGGAATAATATTAGCCAACCTCCAGTTCTAAGCATGGGATATAAACAAAACTTTGATAGACATTGTCAGTCAAAATTTATCAGAGTAGAATTCCAAGGGTACCATTATCTGTATTTCATCTTCCTAGATATCAATATATTTTTATTCCTATGAATTTAACTCTCTTATACATGAGCGGATGCTGCCAGCGTTCAGCCGAAAAATTCCGATTTACTGGATGGTGACAGTCTGATAACATTTATGTCTCTTTGAAAACTAATCCAAACTATGTTATTCAAATTAAGAAGTTTTATGAGGTATAGTGATAAAGTGATAATAATTAGGAAATCGTGAAAATAATTCTGGAAAAACTTGCAAAAAAACTATGGGGTTAAAGAGTTAATAGAATACAATTTACAAAAAAATATGTGATGCAAGATATCAGAAAATGGGATTCCAACCAGTGAGAATGTGAATAACTATTTCATCTTCACTTTTGGCTGCGTGTTTACCTGTGGTGGAAAGAGCTCATTGTTTTGGGATATATTAATGCTACCCTGCCCATGTGGTAGCCTTCTGTTTTGGTGGCACTATTGCACCATTGTATTAAAACAATTATAGAAAAGATTGTCTTTGACATAATAAAAAACTTCAGAGTTTAAATTTATTCAATGAAAAAAGTTGTATCTATTTAATTTTGTACATAAAAATACATTTTGATTTTGGGTTAATTTCAATGCGAGCTCGATGAATTCATCAGTGTTTGTGGATTTTCTGAGCATAATGTGGTTCTCATAGCTCCCTATGAAGAAAATTGTAATTGTTTGGAACAAAATATCACTAATTTGATCTTGTAACTTGAATATAAATGTAGTTTTATTAATTTTTTTAGCCAATCACTGTTTTTCAACCTTGGTTGATGTAGTGTAATATAAATACCTATATCTTAACTTTGAGAAGCCATAGGCTAGTGATTTAAACACATATTGAAAACCCTTTCCATTCTTCTTAACTGTTTAAGCCATTATAGCTTTCAGTTCGTTAGAGATTGAAGAAAAGTGATAAAAGCTTAGCTTGGTGATGGGTTAGTAGAAGAAAGGATGTTTGTTAACAACTTCTGCCACAATTAGCATTAATTTTTTGTGTTTTTTTAAGATGGCTTTATAATTTTATACTTTATTTGAATTATAATGCTGAAATATGATAGGAATAGAATGTTATTCATGGAACAAGGTAGTGTAGGCTTAGTCAAATGATTTGGCACTCGATTGTATCAAATTTCATTTCACCCACAAGACTGCTGTGTCAAACTCTTTATATTAGGGCCTGTTGGCCTAAGTAACTGCTTGAATGAATAGTGAAAATCACCATAAACAGATGTACAAAAAATTTATCTAAATGAGTGTAAAATGGGTTTAAAATGTATTACATACATTAAATGAAACCTAATTAGCATTTCAAAAAAAAGGTTGGCTTCCTCATAATTTTGGTAAGTTAAAATTGTTATCTATCTATATACTACTAAAACTCTGACATTGTTTGTTGGTCTGTAATTAAATACAGCAAAAATGGTGCACAGTACTGCCATATTTGTAATGAAATGAGAATAGAAACAGAATAAAACAAGTTTCACTAAAATTGGGCCATGGGTTACCGAGTTAGCCCTATTTTTCGGGTCACTTTTATGAAAATTGCTAGATGAATTTGGGTACACTAGATGGCGCCACATATTTTATCTATGTGTCCGTAATTAAATACAGCAAAAATGTTGCACAATAGCGCAATATTTGTAATGAAATGAGAATAGAAACAGAATAAAACAAGTTTTGTTAAATATTGAAATTAGCTGGAATTCTTCATAACCTCTGAATAGTGGGTGACCCAACTGTTACTATGGTATATATATTAGAGACTGTGTGATAAGAAATAATGAAATTACCAACTGTTACTATGGTGTATATCAGAGACAGTATGATAAGAAATAATGACATTATCCAGCTGTTACTATGGTGTATATTAGAGACCGTGTGATAAGAAATAATGAAATTACCAACTGTTACTATGGTGTATATCAGAGACAGTATGATAAGTAATAATGACATTATCCAGCTGTTACTATGGTGTATATTAGAGACTGTGTGATAAGAAATAATGAAATTACCAACTGTTACTATGGTGTATATTAGAGACCGTGTGATAAGAAATATTTTCGGGTCACTGTTATGAAAATTTATAGCATGAGTAATTTTACATCACACTACCATTCGCGCTCTTTACAAAACTTTTTACTTCACTTTTTTGAAAAATGAAATGGTCTTGAATTATGAACAACATGATTGGATTGAAATATTTAATTAACTCTTTTATCCAGTAGTGTTGTTTTACAGTGCAATAAAATCCTATACAAGGTAAGTCAAATCATTACATGGATCTGATAAAGTTAATAGAATGATACCTGATTGAAGAAGTATTAATTTCAAGAAAAGTTGTACACATTTTTTTCAAGCATAGAATAATTAGCGGTGTTTGAATTGGGTTTAGATGATCTCCATCTGGATAGTGTGTTTATGTAGTGGATTGAAAAGGTCAAAGTGTATTTGAAGGTAAGGGATAATAATTTTAATCCTTGTAAACCTGATCCAGACTTGTTCTTATTCTGTTTTCACTCTTTTGTTCCTCCTCCTTGTTTTTGTTTTTTGAAAGAGTGTGTATGCTATTTTGGGTAGTTTCATGGATATGAAGAGATACATGTATTTTTAGTTTGTATGTGATAATATGATTTTTTGAGAGTGAACTTGATAGGTTGAATGGCATTCCATTAGTTTGTTGGTTTATGTGTTATAAGTATCAAGTAAAATCCTCCAAAATTAAAATATTTTCATTAATATACCAATAACCTTAAACATGTTTCTGCTAGTTATAAAGAATAGCTTCTTATTAGCTCAAGTTTATGATAATATAGCATCAAAAAGAAATTATTATAATGTGTTTAAATCATTATCAGATTGAATTGCTATATGCATTATCATTCTGTATTTAAAGATTGTTTGTGCTTTATGTTAAATTTGATACTGTGTAGTTTAATGATGCATGGTAGTTTTGCCATTTATCCAGAAAATTATTTTTTATGTTTGAAACTTCTGAACACCAACGGTAATCAAGTGTTGAAATTAGTTATTATTAATGGTAATTTATAAATTATCATTATCATACTAGTTTCTACATGAACAAGTTGTGTTTATATTTCATTTAATTTTTCTGTATTCATCTTTTAGGAGGTTAAGGGGGAACAAGAACATTATCAGAATTTGAAGTTAAGTGTGTGAGATGTAATTGAGCTCAAAAGTTGTCTAACATTATAGCAGCATTTGCAGAATGCTAAACATTTACACTGAATGACACCCTGAGCCATGGAATAAGATGCCGAGAAAAATGTCAAGAAAGGTCTCTGGTCTCATCATTAGAAGTAGAAAAAATATTATGAAAGATGGATTTATTGTAAGTGAACTTTAGTATTTTCATACGTAATTATTTACAACAGAATCTGCTCTTAAAGAACTGATTGATATTTATATGTAGTTAAGAAATATGTCAGAAGTAAAAATTTTTATATATCTGACTATCTCACATTTGACTTCAAAACTTTACCTTTTGATCTTTTCTCTGAGTAATCTGCTTATCCCTCTTCATTTGTGTTTTTTCTTATGAACAAAAAAAAAGTTTTACACTTAGCAAGTGTAAATAATCATTTAAGCTAAAAGTACATATCACATTTTTTTAGTTTAAAAAGAACACAGTGTGATATTATTTTTGTCCAGGGCTCAAGAAATACTGTGCACAAAACCTTTATAATATGATGACATAATTTTTGTTGATATTACTACTTTTCTCTAGTAGAGAAACTATCCTAAGTACAACAGACTCAATTTACAAAGTTCCCACATCTGTATGTGCTGTGATCACTAGAGACGTCACTGCTTTATTAATGAATGTGTGTGTAGATTATATAATACATATTTCAAACATTGAATTAGAATAGAGCTTGTTTTATTTAATATGAATTAAGAAATTAGCAGTGATAAAGAGTGAAAGTTAAAGGCTTATACCCCTAAAGATTTTGGTAATTCTTCAGACTTGAAGCATATGTGTATACTTTTGTGTTTCAACAAAAGTTTGTTTATTTTACAAGGGTGTTTATTTGCTTAATGTAACTCCAATTTCCTGAAGGTTTGGAATCTTGTGCTGTGAAGATTTTGAACATTCTGCTACCCTGCCATTTTCTAGCACAGACCCACTGACATTTATCTGTAATAAATAATGTCAATGGCACCTCTGTACCTGAATGAGACATGAATAATTCATTCTTCAGTTAGCAACACTAAGCACCTAGGTCAATTTTTAATACACTATTATGTTCATTCTCTAAACAGCAGGATGTTTTCAATAATGATGAGAAGTGATGATGGCTTCTAATTTTATATCAAGTCAGTGAAAGAGAAAGAAACAAGAATGAAAGTGTATATAACAACATTCGTGCTGGTCGAGCATGGCTGACAAATTTGTCGCAAATGATATTGGGATTAAATTTGGGATTAAAGTTTTACTTGCCTACCGATGATAGGCCCTTCACAGTAGCAATTTTAGAAGCTTTGCTAAATATATGGGAATCATAGGAAAAGTTAAGAAAATCCCCCTTTCCTTTCTTTTAACTATAGCAATAATGCCATTCTCAAACCCTGTTAATCCCCTTCTGTGCATGTTACTGAGTTACACTCAAAATTTAATTAAACCACTTTACTATAAATGAGTTTTAATGAAATTATTATTATCAATAACATTATAATTGAAAGTTTTTATTATCTAGGTTTTATTCCTTTATTTTAAAAAGAAACATCTAAAATAGCAATTAAAACCTCAGTTTTTGCTATCTCGTGATTCACTCGTGGTGACAATTTCTGAACTTTAAGAGCTGGTAGAGAAGAAACTGTGTGTTCCTGTAGACAGCCAAAGTACACAAACAGATGTTTTACAGTAGTTTCTCAAGGTCTTTAGAAGACATTCTCCCCCTATATTTAACCATGGTAAAGGTTTCCTTAGTTTTAAATCAGCCACGGCCACTTGCAAAGTCAAAGCTATGTTGCTATGCAATAGTTTCAAGTTGACTGGCATGCTTATAACCAATAGAAAGAGCAGACTTCTCTCTTGAATCTTGGTAATGTATAATGGTAAGTATAGGTGTATGACTTTTTTAAACGGAATGAAATGAAACCAAATCTATTGTTCTCTTGCGCTTGACAAGTGTTTCTCACCTTATATGTATTAATATGATAGACAGATTGCATTTAGGTTTAATATTATATTTTGATTATGTATTATTTGTGTTTTAAAACATATATTTGAAAGGTTTGATGATTTTTATGTTTCATTTCTTGCAGTTTGGATTGTAAAAGTTTATAAACAAGATAGCATCATTTGTGTGTGAGAGCATTAGTGAAAGAGTCTGTGCAGGGAGTGACCATATAATAATAATAATAATAGAGCCCTGCAGGGTCCAGTTTACATATCAGCAAAAATAATAGACAAAGAATTGGAAAGAAAAATTAAAAATAAACTAAGTGAAAAGATAAAGACGTGAAATTATGCATACTAAAAAAACAAGTTTCAAAAGACTTCTATGAAGAACTAAAAGATATGTACATATTTCAATTTCTTAATTTAAACATTTTGTTGCAGTGTACATAGGTAGAGTTAATGATATAGTAGAGAAAATGGAAAATAAAACAAACATTTAATGTTCACTTAGGAGGTTTTAGAGATTATGCAAATGTAATGTGAAAAACTGTAAGATGATAAATATTTTTATACTCAAATTGAAAATCGCCTTGCATATAAATAATTCAGAGTCTGAGTGCAAATAACTACATTATTTCTTTCTTAAGAAATAGTAGTAAAAAAATTAAAATTAAATATTTTATTTATCTGAAACTATATACTTTTAAGAATGTTCATGTCAAATTTCAAAATTTCATCCACTAGTTTCATTTTTGCAAAGAACTTTCATGAGGGCTAGGTAACCTATTTACAATGTAAGTAGATCGTAGTCATAGAGTTAGAAGTAGGATTTGGCCTACCAACAGTTGAGTTATTGTATAATATTTTTTCAATTGTTTTTTAACTGTTATGTATGGAGAATTCACAGTAGAACTTGCATTATGTTTCTGAGCATCTACATGAAAAATAGGTTCTTGAATACTTTATCCAAGTTACAACAGGTCACATGCTATTAAAAATAAAACTAGATATGAACTTATGGCAAGATGAGATCTTTCTTTAGGTTGTGGGAACAAAATTGGAGATATGTAGCTGATTAACAAGTCGGCATTGAGAAGTCTTGTAGCCTTGAGGACATTGTACATTCCAAACAAATATGATCCCAGCTTGATTTCAAGGAGTGGGTGCTATGTAGAGTCAGAATTGTTTATGTAACTGACTTTGAAGTTTAAAATAATAAATGATATGACAAGGTTCTTGATTTTGTCATAAATAAATATATATAGTGGAAAAGGCTTCAACCTTATCAAAACGATATATGAATATTGCTTGTAGGTTTTGTAACCCTTGTGAAATTGCTTTCCAAAAAATGAAACTAGTGGATGAGATTGTTTGAAATTTGACAAGAACTTTCTTAAAAGTATTTAGTTTCAGAAAAATAAAATATTTTAATTTTGATTTTTTTCTGCTATTTCTAATAAAACTTTGTTATTTAATATAGTTTATCTGTACTCAAACTCTGAATAGTTCACCTGCAAGGAGATTTCATTTTGAGTATAAAGATATACTATTTATTATCTTACAGTTTTCACATTTCATTTGCATAATCTTTAGAACCTGCTAAATGAATATCAAAAGTTTTTAAGGTAAATGTTTATATTTTATTTTCCATTTTCGTTACTGTATCACTAACTCTAGCTATTATCATCAATGTACAGTGCAAAGAAGTGTTTAAAATTAAGAAATGGAAGTATATACTTGTCTTCGTAGAATAGTCTTAAAATATCTTCTTTGGGTCATATGTGTGATTTCACATCTTTACCATTTATTATTTATGCCAACACACGTCAATGGGTACCCGTGAGGAAAAAGAATGGAATAAATGGCAGGGATACTTTATCCTTCACCAAAATCTTTTTTTACTCACTTGGTAATGTAACATTGTAAGCCTTGTGGATCGAGGTGAAGCTTTTGTTATTTTATTTTAAAAATTTAAACCTTCCAGGTATGAATTTTAAAGTAATAATAATGCATAATTAACTAAAATATAAAAGTAAAACCTAAATACAATATAGCTGTCTATCTAACTATAACATATTTAGGTACGAAACAACCGAGGTGCTATTGTGGTTCAAGCAGCCAACAATACTACAAGCAGTTATATCTACTTGATGACAATTTGTTGCCAATTTCAAAATAACCATTGTTGGATTATAGTGTAAATGAGCTCTTTCTAATGACTATAAACATGTGTGTCTAGTAAGTATGTGTTGGCTTATAAAGCTCAAAGATATGTATAGAAGGTGACAAATTTTATTACTTGTTTCTACTGCATGTCAGTAGGGCAAGTAAATGTACTTATTGTATAGACTTACATCAGCATTACTGATGTTATCTGATTCAAAGTAGCAACTGTAAAAGTTGAGATTTTTCATAGCTCTTGGGTCACATGATAACAAAACTGAAGTTTAAGTATCTTTTTAAAGGCTTTTGAAACAAAGGAATTAAAGTTAGATAATATAAACATATGTTATAATGTTAATTCCATTGACATACATTGTTATGATAAAGTTGTTCAACCACATTTTGAATGTGTCACAGTGACTTACACAGAAAGGGGTTTAAAAGTACGTCATACTTAAAGGGTTAATTGTAAAAAGATTGGCATGTAATATGTGCTAACGTTTAATAAACAGTCCACCGTATGATGAAACACTAGTATGACTGAAACAATACAGATAAAACACCATCCAAACAGTGTGAAATAAGATACTGCATACAGAAGGAAGAGAAATACTCAGTTTTGTATCTGGTATGATGGAAAATTGTTTTGCTGTCAAAAATGTGTCATGACATGAGTGTCACAGTAAAATCAAGAACACATATTGGGGGCATTTAAGTATTATGTTGTGCATTTAAGACTGGGAAGATGCGAAAGAAAATTAACTTGTTTATTTGAATGGAGTTGGTAGGGAATCAATGCTTTAGAAAATTAAGTATTCAATAAAGTGAGACATTTTCATCAAAAGTTTTAGCGATTAACATTCCAGCATCCCATGAAGTCAACCATGTTTCACCAGGTGGTTGATATATGTTTTACATTTTGGGAAAAAACTTTACCAAAGTAAAGTGAAAACAAAAAAAGAGACTATGGTTTGTTCAGATAGACAACAGGATGCTCTAACATGACTGTCTAGTTTTGAAAAGTTAATTTTACAAGAGTTTGGAGAATCATAAACAACCTAGTGTGATTGAAATTTTATAATAGTACATTTTAATGTTTGAGGAATGCCAAAAATAAGTGACAATAGTTTGTAACTTCAGTTTTTGTATACCACCACTAAGTAGCATTGCAGAGAGAGGTATATATTGGTTTGCATATATTAATAAAATTTGCCTTTGTTTTTGTTCTAATTTTTGGTAATATCTTTACAAAAATTTGATTTCTATTCATTGCTCTGTGTTGTTATACTTGTGTTTATGTTTTTATGCCAAGAACTTTTTGTTAACTTAACTTTAAGGCTTGTATGCAACTTGCATGCCTAATCCAAATAGGTAAGATTGTCTTGCAAATGAAGTAAATTTTGTTTTCACTGTTCATAATTTTGTAAATTCTGTAACATTTCCCTTGCCAAGGTATTTAATTCTAGAATTTCAAATTTCTGAAAGTTATAGACAAAATGTGGGTAGTTCTTAGCTTCCATAAGAATGTAAGGCATTTTTCTGCATGGAAAATATATCACATTCCTTTATTGTGTATAAAATGTAAACAATATTTAAAATGTACATCATTTAAATTTCAACTGACAAAGAATATACTTTAATATTGCAGTGTGATATCACTTTTTCTTACACTGTATTACTTAGTTTGATCTAAATAGGCTTTTTGAGCTGTAACAAACCAAAAACAAATTTTATAACAGAATTCCTTGAGGTGAGGATGGCATGTTTCATTATGAGGCCTCATTTTAATAGGAAGTTTTTATTTACAGCCTCAATTTGATTTTTAATTACAGAATATATTTACTAACAATTGGTAGAATAGACCAAGGGTTGGCAAACTGGAGCCCACAGGAAAGTTTCAGGGGTAATTATACACAAAACTGTTTAAGAAAAAAAAATAGAGTTAAAAATTAAAAAGAATAGGTGAGAAAGATAAAGTAACAAATTTTAAAATATTTTACGGACAAGATGTTTGCAATGAAAGTAAGGTACTCGGTATCTATAGATTCATTGGGTGGGTGGTATCAGTCAGAATGTGGAATGTTTTATGGGGCCTTGTGCTGAGAAAGTTTGGGAACTCTGACATAAGCCACCATCCATTTTGTATAGTAACTCAAACTGTGTAATGAGATTAAACTCCTTCATACCATAAGATTAATTGCACTCGAGTGGTTCATAATTTTGCCTTGTTAGCAACATGTGTTTTCTCAAGAAAAGCAAACAAACAGAAGACAACTTCCTTCTTCTTTTCCAGTGCATTTACATATAATTTTTTTGCAGGGAAAAAAAATTAGTTCTTGCCAAGCCTTTAGGCTCAACATATATTTTTCTAAATCTCTTCATATAGTTTTAGTTATTATATGTCATCTGATTATTTATATATTGTTTACATTTTTTCCAGACTTCTGGGATTGGAGAACCAAGTGTGTATCATGCTGTTGTTGTAATTTTCCTGGAATTTTTTGCCTGGGGACTCCTGACAACCCCTATGATCACAGTAAGTGTTAAAGATATAGAATTATTCACAAGTCCTATTACCTTTTACTTAGATGAAAGCATTTGCCTTTCATAAGACATCAAAAACATAATTGTTTAAGTTACAGATGTCTTTTGTATTTCTTTTCACGAGTACTGAAATTGTCCATAAATACAATTACTGTTATGTATTGTATGAACTACTTTCAGGATATTTTCTTCATCAAATATAAAGACTAATATTAGAACTGGACAATTAATATTACTTTCTAATCAATTAATAGACTCACTAATTAATTACATTTGACTATTACACACACCCTATAACTCATTGTAGAATTTAAAAAAAATTAGTCATTTGCACATTTTGCAAAAAATATACTTGTTGTCTAAAATATTTTGCAAAAATTTTTTTTTAGAGATAACCTGGACATTTCCAACTTGGGAAATGAATTGTTAATGTTGACTAGATACCATCATGCATCTAACATTGTTTGTTTTTAAAATATTCAGTAATTCTCCACCAACCTCCTGTAAATCAAATGAATCGATATTTAAAATTAGATAATGAAATGTATTATATCATCATTAGTGGTAATAATGTTTTCATTTAGAACATATTGTACCTGTTCATGTCAAAACTTCCACCAAATATTGCACATTTGTTACTTTGTTAAAATTGTAATAAAATTTTCTTTGCTATCCATTCAACTTCTCTCTAAACTGCATAAGCTTACCTTTTCTCAAGTTATCTGACTTCTTTTTGTAAAGAAAATGTCTATATCTATATTCACAAACAAAAAGAATGTTCACAAAGTATAAAAAAAACTTTACTATATCATGGTATTTTTATTTTTGCTTTAACAGTGGTATTTCAACTTTCTTTGTACTGTTTTCAAAACTATGTTTCATTAGTAAGTGATCAAACCATTTTATGTAGTAAAAGGTTTCAACCAAGGTATGGACAAAAAAGCTAAGGGTAATGCTTGAAAATCATGAAATGGATAATATATACTCTCAAGTGGTGATAAGTTCTTAGCAATAAAGAAATTATTCTTTGGAATGGGCAGAAAGAAAACATTGTTTTGTTTGCAAGGAAAACTGCAGCTGTGCAAAAAATAGAAATCTAATTTTTTTATTTTTTTAGATTTTCTTCATGAATTACATACACTAAACGAATGTCAGAAAATGACAAAATATATGGATTCTAAAATATTTTTGAGTAAAAGTTGTTGAAATTGGTTGTTGGAATAATCAAAAACAATAATAATTAGACTAACTAATTTTGATTTATTGATGTAATCTCTGCTTGTAGATAATTTATTATATTGATTAATTAATTAAATTGCTTAGCTCTAATCTAGCATTACAGTGTAGTTGTTGTCTATGTAACATTATTTATAATTAGTATTTGGTTGGTGACATTCGTTTTTGTTTTTAACTCTTGATCATAGTAAGCTCTGGTAGGTTTTGTGCTTGCATTGATTTGTTAAATGGAATATACATTCTCTATGATAACACTATTTCTTTTAAAACCTTTAATGCATAATACTTTGGTTATTATTATATGTTCTGGCAATCCTCACCCTTATTTTCGCGGTGTGAATCTATTGTTGTTCAAGCAAGTTGCTAATATAAGTGGTTTCTACTTTCTTATAATTAGTCTTTTTCTTCCTTTTTTTTTTTTTTCAAAAGCAACTGTGCAGATGGAATTTTATCTTTGTAGCATGATCAGAACTATTTACATTCAAATACCTGCCAGTCAAGATCTGGCTGATAATATAATAATGAATTATTTAAATAAGTATTGAAATAATAATATTGCACCTAATAGTGAAATATTTAACTTCAGAGCTCATTTTTCTAACTCATTCGACAGCTTACTGGACACATCTATGAAGAATTTCATGTAAAGATAGATATACTAATAGGACCTGTGTGCATCATTCTGTTTATGGGCTTTACTGTTATTCATATATTTACTTCACCATGATATATTGTGTAAAGATAGATACTCTAATAGGACCTGTGTGCATCATTCTGTTTATGAACTTTACTGTTATTCATATATTTACTTCACCATGATATATTGTGTAAAGATAGATATTCTAATAGGACCTGTGTGCATCATTCTGTTTATTAACTTTACTGTTATTCATATATTTACTTCACCATGATATAATGTGTAAAGTTAGATATACTAATAGGACCTGTGTGCATCATTCTGTTTATGGACTTTACTGTTATTCATATATTTACTTCACCATGATATAATGTGTAAAGATAGATATACTAATAGGAACTGTGTGCATCATTCTGTTTATGAACTTTACTGTTGTCCATATATATACTTCACCATGATATATTGTGTGAAACATAAGCTTTATAATGATGAAACTGCTTTTAGTGAATCAAAAGATTTTAGTGCATGATGGAAGTTTATGTTTTTCCAGGCAAGCAGTATCTATAAATAATCAGATACTTAAATGATTGGCTGTAGGAATGCACTAATAATTCATTGTTTCCATGATTCAGACTAGCACTGTGTTGGTTATCAGCTTGTGGAATTAGAGAAAGTAATTACTTTGATCTTGAACAAAAGTGACACTCGTACTACTAAGTTGCAGTGTTTTGCTTTCAGCTATTCCAGTTACTCAACAATAAAAAAAGAAAATAATGACATATAAAATAAGAAAGATGAGACCAACTGGTGTGTATTTCAAACTGGTATACCACAAAGCTCTATTTATATTGCATTTTAAATTAATAAAATACTTCAAGTCAATGCTGAGTAAAAGAATAAATGAAAAATGTTTCTAGATTGAAACAGTGACCTTCAGATATCTTAATCTTTGTAAAATGGTAGGGTGCACAGCACATTACATTATAATTTTTGTCCTATCAGACAATGTTTACTATTTTGAGTTTTTTGTTTTTTTTTTAAGTGTGAAAAGAATGTATTGTTACTAAAGTGTATACGTGCATTGCATTTATTAACTTTTGGTGCAATATGCACCTTCCATTTTAGCTACATGCAAGTGTAACTGATATAAGACAACTTAATTTGCATAAAACTGACATTCCATGGATAATGATATGCAGATGGGAGACATATTTTGTCATTTTCAATTTACACTAAATTTAGCAAAGCAGCTTACGTGCTTTAACACGTGTGGGTATGGGCTTGTACAGTTCAAAACTTCTTTTAATTACATGATGTTGATCATGTTTATATTATCCATTGATATTACAAAGAGTATTTATTTTAAAGTTTCATTGCTTAGTGTTTTTCGTAAAATGCTTGTAGTGTACCTAGACATATGTAAAAATGCTACAAATTTTATAGAAATAGTTAAAATAGAATATACTTGATTCATTTGTTGTAAACACACACACACACACAGAGAGTTGAACAGTGTAAAATCTTGAAAAGTTACATCAAGAATGTGGATCAACAGTAAGTTTAAAAGCTTATAATGCTAAAAATAAGGTTTACTATTTGTGGTGGGCACAGCACAGATAGCCCATTCTGGGGCTTTGTACTTAACAAGTAACAAACTTAAAAATTTGTTCGTAAGTTCTCAATTCATTCTATCAAAACCTGTTAGCATGAGAGGAGAAGCTTTTTTGTTTTAAGTAATCCACTTTGATTATCTGTAGTGGATGATGTAGATGTAATTATGTATAATAGATTTTTATTGTACACCTGAAATGTATAGCAAGAAATAAGTAAAAGTAAAAACATACAGAAAGACAATAGATGGAACTGCTAATACATTCTCATTTTTATTTTATATCAAATTTTAGACATATATATTTCATTTTTTAATATTAATAATTTCCAGGTTCTGAATGAAACTTTTCCAGATCACACATTCCTAATGAATGGATTAATAGTAGGAGTTAAGGTAGGTGTTCTCTCTTGCTCATGGTATATGCACACCATCAAATTTTATTTTTATGATACTCATAGAAGTGTAAAATACTCATAGTATTTGATTATCTGAATAATAATATTTCTTTTACAATACTGTTGAACTCCCATATAATGTAAAATTTGCAGGATCATCTTTTCTTTTTAGTTATTTCAGCATCTTTTATGTTCAATATATTTTTTAAGAAACTTAAATGCATAAACTCGATACTAAAACTTTAATCCAAAAAATATATTCATGTCTGATCTTTTTATCCAAAGTATTAAAAAGGTGTTTTTAAACTATTTCAAATTTATATTGGTAGTTATGGTGATATTAAGACTCATATAATTAGATATTTCTGTTTATTTGCTGTTTTTGTATTAAACTCAACTTTTCCTTCTTTAGGGATTTTTATCCTTTTTAAGTGCACCACTGGTAGGTGCTTTGTCAGATGTCTGGGGAAGGAAAGTTTTTTTACTGTTAACAGTGTTTTTCACTTGTTCTCCAATTCCATTAATGAGGATTAATACATGGTGAGTTGTGAGTTTTTTTGTTTGTTTTTATATAATGACTAGATAAGTATGAAGATAAGTTTGCTGAATATATATCTTAGATTATCATAAACTTTCAAAGTGTTAATTATAAAAAGGAAATGGAAAAGCTGTTGGCTAAAATATGTTTGCAAAATACATTTTATTTTAGGTGTTATATATAAAGAGAACTTTTTGCTCCCTGGTAGCTCATTGGTAAGTTTGCAGGCTTGTAATGCTGAAAATCATGGTTCAATACCACATAGCCTATTGTGTAGCTTTGGACTTTAAGATAAAACTGTTTATTCTCAAAAACATGTTACAAATATATTACAAATTGATCACAAAAGGTTCAGTACTTATCTGTTTATCATTCCCATGTGTGTCATTTATAATATGAAAATATGAAGAATACATGTATATAGTTATTAGCCCTATCCAGAAAGAGAGCACCTGTAAGGTGTCATGAACACCTACATATCAAATTGAACTTTTTTTTTCAACAATTTTAACTGAACAATATTTTAGAGTTGATATTTTGTTAGAATATAATATATATTTTAATACCATAACTTAACCCTATTGCCACAGGTGTCCTTTACCGTGCATGACACAAGGTTTTTGTGTCTTACATTCAAAATTTCATTAACTACTGTTTATGTTATACCAAATAATATAGCACAAAATCTTAGCTAATAATCCATATTTTAATTGTATATGCGGTTTTAGTTCTTAATTCTGTAAGGCAACATTTTAAAAAATTCTGAATTTCCCCTAGTGTGACACACAAAACACATTTTCTCTAGGTATCTTCTCTTCTCTATTTTATCCACCACCCCTCCAGTAACTACAAAATTAAACATAAATTACTCACTATAAAATTGTCATTGCTCAGACAAGCCATAATTTTTATAGCCTTTAATTTTGTTTGGCTACAGAGCTATGAAATAGAAAACCAGACCCCTCCTGCCACAACCACCTGTCACATCCTCTCTTTCAGGATTTGTTGATAGTTCTCTCTTACATTTAATTATATTACCTATAACTAATAGAAAGTCAAGGTTTTCATCTATCAAATGATGCATTCTATTATGTTGTGTTCTGAACAGATAATTATCATTTTCACTAGCAATACAACTTTGGTTCCCACGGGAATCACAACAACTAGCTTGGATGAATTTGTAACAGCTCTTGTCACATAGTTAGAAAGCCAGAAAAATTATTATTGTTAGAGGACATTGTCTGCTTTTTTATTAAATGTTATTTGGTATTTGTTATTAATCTACGTTCTTTGGTGCATTATTTAATTAAATACAAATTATTTAATGCACTACTACAGTTAGTATAAAAAAGTGGGGTTAAGTGTCATCGATAGTCGACAGCAAAAAAAAAAGAATACTTGGGTAAGTACTTTATTTCTTGTTTTTCATGTTTATTCTTTATTTATTATTATAAAAGTAACTAAACTGTAAAATAGGGATCCCTTTAGGTTAGTTAAGGTTACATTAGGTAAAATAAATAATAATATAATAAAAATATTTCACAAAACATGCATGCAAGGAAATTGGAGTGGCTAATGGGTAATGTAATTCAACAGCTTACAGAAGCTGCAGTTTCCCCGAGTGATTTACAACTTATGGTGCGAATAATAGTTAGACATGGTTCATAGGGTGATAAAACAATAAAATTTAATTATTAATAGATGTATGCTGTTACAAGTTTAAAGCTACTTAGGATAAATGAATGTAGTTTGATGCTACATTTGAAGACATTCTAGAAATAAAAAGAGGGTAATTTAGTTTGTTTTTTGTTACGAGGTCAGTCAAATTGACCAACCTTGTATAGAGTTAGGGTAGTGAAAATTACAGATAAAATATAAAGTTGTATTGAAAACAAATGTTTGAAATATATTTAGGAGGTTTTAGAGATTATACAATGAAATTTGAGATTTTTGAGATGAAGAAAGTATTCTTAATCTTAACATGAAAATCACTTTGCACATGGACTATCCAAAACAAATACTCCATATATTCAAGAACAAATCTATTTTTAGTTTATTAAAAATACTTCACTAAAAGACATGATTTTTTATGTGAAAGACTTGTAATGTTTGCTGAAAGACTGCCAAATTTTGTAAATATATACACTGTATTAAATATTAGTAGTATCAAATCTATAAGGACTTTGAATGAGTACAAAGAGGTCACGTGGTCAGTCAAATTGACTTAGCCCGCGTTGAGAGAGTTAAAAGCAGATGTTCCAACCTCTGTACAATTTCAAGAAGTCTCACCTGTACACACATTTATAGATATTTTTTATAATTTTTTTGCCCATCCCAAAGTATAGTTTTATATTTGCTAAAAAACTTTCATTCTTCAAATGTAATAATTCCTGTTTTGTTTGTCAAGTGATTATTTTTTTTCTCTTGACATTCGTAATGGTTAGGATGCTTGACTTGCAATCTGTTGGTTATGAAATTGAAACATGTTGCCAAACATGCCCTTTCAGTCATTGAGACATTGTGATGTGGTGTTGGCTAGCACAGAAAGCCATTGTGAAGCTTTGCAAAAAATTCAGCAAACAGAATATATATGTTTGTTATTTTACATTGCTAGTTTAATATTTGGATTTAGCACTAACCTAAATCTCCTAAGTTGATCAAGCTTTATGGGGTATATATATGTATGGGGGATTATATTCAAAAATATTGTTAACAGGGAAGCTGATGAATCAATGCATTCTAATCATTACAAGTTTTTGGTTTATGATGATCCATACTCCTAGTAATAATTATATATATCTGAATCAGCTATGTTCGTTACTGCTGATTCTGATCTATGTAGTTAGCTTGCTTTGATCATAAGTTATAGAGAATTCATTACAGTGTTCTTCAAAACTCCAAGCACTGAAATGCATTATGCAATAAAAATATACTATGAATAATTGTTAAAGTGAATAGAGAGATCACTAATCAACCATGGGCAATAACTTTAAAAAATTTCCAGCAAGAACCAAATAGCTACAGTGACTTTATTTCTGTTGCATAGTCTTGGATTTTGTTTGTTAAAACAGTCAAGGATTACATGTAAAGCCAATTCCTGATGAAAATGGCATATTTTACATGTACACAAAGGCTGTTAGATTGTTTTTGATTTCATACAGGTGAATTGGTGTATGAATATATACAAATCAACTGTACTTTTATTTAGAGTATTATAAACCAGTGTAGTCAATGCTTAACTTGGGTATGTATCAAATGGTTATTAAGAGCTTTTCGTAAAAAAGTTATAATTTTTATTTATCCTAAACATACTGACTTTAAGTGACAATGAGACTAATGAAAAACTTGTATTAGGTTTTTTTACTGGTTAAGTATTTTTTGTGAAGTCATAATATTAGAGGCATCTTTCCTCAGTCATTAGCTTTGTCACATTCCACCCACATGACATCCAACTTCCCCGATCAAAGTCAGAAACAAAACTTGTATTGTTTAACCTTATGGCCATGGAGACAAACCCATTTGGTTACTTCTCATATAGAGAAGTCTGAGCTTTCTTAATATATCTTAACAACAATTTGTAAGAGTTTGTTAAATATTACAAGTATTTTGTATGCAAAGAATGAGATTGTGTTAATTAAGTATTTTAACTAAAGATTTGTTATTCTTGTATCATACTTATTTGCACTCAGACTCTGAATGTTTCAAGTATTACCATCAATGTATTGTACAGTGAAATGTTTAAAATTAGAAACAGAAAAAATTTAGGAAAGCTATAGTACCAACCTTTACAAATTTTAAATTTGCCTTGATGTGCAATCCACTAACATTCAGTTGTAACTGAAATTTCAAGTTAGGCAATGTGAGATTATTGTATCCTTAAATATTTTAGTTTTAATATTTATTAGCAGTTTTATATTTATATTAAATCTTAATCTCTGATGTTATTCACAGGGAAAATTAAAAGAAAGAACAATTCCGAATTTTTTTTTTTCATATGATGATGATGATTTCTATTTTTGATGTTGAATTTCATATAATACCATGGCTTTGCCATCTGCTGTCACTAATTTTGAGATAACTCACCTCCTCGTGTGTATGAGATTTATGTGACATTGGCTTTGAGGCAACTCCCACGTAGTTTCACGGGATTTTTTGTGAATTGTCACTGTATGATGATGTCATCACATGACCAAAGTTTTCCACCAATAGATGGGTGACACACCTCCATGCATACTAACTTCCCTTATGAATTTGCACTGGTGAATATTCATTCTTCTCCTCAGTATTTTATTGTAGAGATGTGTTCAAATTCTTATTTGTGTTCAATTTATTGAGGTTTCCCTTATTAATGAAACTTTGATGTTTGTTTTTTTTAGCTTTTTTTTTCAAAAGTTTTAATTTATACTTAGTCTGATCCTGAGTGTTAGACATTGTTTACACTTTGGCATTACTTCTGCTGTGGCAGCTCTTTAACTGTCAGGGTTGTTGCAGCCATTGTTCAGTTCATTGTGGATTACCATGTCTTGTCAGCTGAGTTTTTTTAGTTATCAGTCAGGAATGATCTGTAAGACTATGACCTTCACTGATTTGCTTTGGGTAGTACTTTTTATTTGTGAAATGATCTTAAACTTTCAATCTCTTTCTGGATTTCTTTCTCGGGTATGTTCCTTTCCATCTCTTTTTGCCTGTGTTATTTATTATTTTTTTTGTTTTCTTGCTTTCTAACCCACAATTCATGGTTTTATCTTGTCTTTTCAACTTGCTTGTTAGCAAGTATGAATGTAAAAATGTGTTTGTTTTTGTGCAAAATAGTGTGATTAAAAAAATCACATAATTGTGTCTATCTTTACAGTATGTATGAAGAATGTGCTTACATACTAATTTGTAAATACAAAATACCGTGTAAAGTAATTTACAATAAATATATACACTGTTTACAACAGAAGTTCTAACTCCTCGTAATATGATGTCAGAAAGCGATCTTTTTTCTTTTGGGCCATGTTTCACCTCCTACACTGGGTCTGAGTATACAGTTAAAAGGGCTAAATTTACTGGTATAAGAAATGCGTAGAATATCAGGACCAAATTTGGTAAACAGAAAGAAAGTGATGGTAAAATCAGTGAGAGCTGTGCTTTCTCTGGCAGTTGTTTTGATGTAAAATTAATTAATTTGAAAGAAATAATTAACCATCAAGGGTGTTCGAAGATTAAGAAATCTTCCTTCACCCCGCACGAGACTAAAGATTACAAATTACTGAGGGTTATTGGTTTATTCGAGCCAAGTGGGCAAATGAGTTAGTAAGTAACTTTCACACTTCATTGTAATATATGTCAATGACCAATCAAAATGGACAAGGCTAAGTACTACACTTAGCAGGGGCGGTGGAGCTGTGGGTGGTGGTAAGGAGTGGCAAGTGACATTACATGATGCCGACAGTTGAATTTCATATAAACAAACCTTATAACAGCAACAAAATAATTATCTATTCTATGTTTTTTCATAAGACATTATTCTTTATTTACTTGATTCATAGCAGCTCTTAGACAAGGAAACTGTTCAATGGTTATAAATATTTCTTCAAATTATGCTTATAATAAAATATTTTCCCAATTATCGATTTCCTGTTATTCAACCATTTATTCCATGTATGGTGTAATCACCAGTTTCTGTACCAGTCCCAGATTACTGTACCCCACTTTATTCTTGTTAGTGGTTATTTACAACAAATTATATGTTTGTTTATTATTAATAATAAAGATGCTCAATGGGCTATCTGTGCTGTGCTAAATGCAGGTATCTAAATCTGATTTTTAGCGTGATAACTACTGAGCCACTGGGGGCTGCAACAAAGAACACTTTTGTAAATTTATTCTCATTCTGGAACTCTTCTTCATTAAAAATTTCATTAGTACTGATGTAACACAGTTGTAATTTTTTCTCTGTTTCGTGAATGAAATTGTTAGACTAGTAGTCACTATTACCAAACTTGTATTAAGATAATATTTATGGAAATCATAGATTTTATTTGTGAAACAAGATAAGATTGTATACTTCATATTCACTATGTTTAGATTTACTATATAAATTTTAACATTTTCACATATAAAATAAATACTTTCATTTCAGAAGACAGTACAATGTATTTCAGGACACACAAAGTTGTGAATTGGAAATAATGTTGAACTTCACTTATGAGTGGAAACCCTGGTTGTGTCTACTAATTACAAATGTGCAACTAGGGCCCTCTTTTTGAAAACACCAATACTTTAAAATAGTATTATTTAGTTCTTATTTTTGGCAAAAATATGTGTTCAAAAATACCATTTTAATTGTAAAAAAAAAGATTTTATGAAACAATTGAAATTGAGTGAATTACTTTAAAAACATATTTCTTCATTTTTTTAATAATGATGTTTTAAATTCAATTTATTTTATTTATTACAAAATTTTTAGACAGTGTCAACAAATATTTTACAGATTAAATTATAGAAGTACCCAACAGAATTACGTAGCAAAAATTACAAAGTTAACAATCAGTTCACTATTTAGAAAAATTGGAATTACGTTTTTTATCATTCACATTTAAGGATCCATTACAATAAAAGTAAAAATCAGAGAAGAATTATTTATTGTATTGTTTGTAGCTTAAACTTGTAAGTCATTTTTAAAAATTTCAGATATCTATATTTAATAACAATGGAGCAATTGTAGAAATACTTTGCTCAAGTATAGGGCTGGAAACATTCAGTTAAATGTTAAGGACTACTACTTCCTCTATGTATATGTTTAATTCTTTCAGGTGGTATATTGAATGGATTTAAAGGGCTACTGCTTTCCCCTATGTATATGTTTAATTCTTACAGGCTGTATTTTGAATGGATTTAAGGGCTACTACCTTTCCCTATGTATATGTTTAATTCTTGCAGGTGGTATTTTGATTGAATTTAAGGGCTGTGGCTTTCACCTATATATATGTTTAATTCTTACAGGTAGTATTTCGATTGAATTTAAGGGCTATTACTTTCCCATGTATATATATATGTTTAATTCTTACAGGTGGTATTTTGCCATGATCTCAATATCAGGAGTTTTTGCTGTTACTTTTTCTGTTGTATTTGCCTATGTGGCAGATGTAACTGAAGAACAAGAGCGAAGTTCTGCATATGGTTTGGTGAGTTTTAAAATAGAATCTTCTTAGTTGAATGTCTAATAAAAGGAAACATTTAGAACTTATTCTATGTAATAGTTTTAGATATTAGTAAAGTATGTTCTTTCACAAAAAAGAAAAGTTTGATATCATGACCAAATTAGAAAAGTAGTTTCAGTCTAAATCATCTTAACTAGGTCAATGGCAAAAGATGTTATCTATTTAAAGAAAAATTGGTACGAGTTTCTGATTATTTTTATTAAATGTATTTGTACCTTTAACATTTTTGTTTGCTTCTTTAACGTATTATGGCCTTCCATCTTGCTCAACCACTTTATTTTATTTATAATGTACACTGAAATAAACATTTGATATGTTGGGACACAAATTATTAAATTATGGTTATGATATGGGATATGTAGCCTAGCTCTGTGAACTAAACACTTCACTGTAGAAAAAACAAAATGATAAAAAATTTATAGTGAATGTTTAACATTTGAAAAACATTAGAAATGTTTTAAGTTGAATTTAATAATTCATTCAAATTAGGTAAATTTTTGGAAAATATAATTTTGTATTTGTTTTATGATTTTTATTCCTTAATGCAGATGGCTGTCAAATACAGAAAGTTATTACAATTAGTTCTAAGTTTTGGCTTCTTTTTTTTTTCACTGTGTAAACCGTGCAAGATTTGATAATTGGGAAGAGAAAATCTATCAATTTGAAGTGATGACTTAATGTAGGATGTGTAATTGTTTATTCTTTGAACATTTTTTAATCTCCAACTATGCTTCCTACCAACAGCTGCATTGTTAATAGGAACTTCTTACTAATTTTCAGGATTTTACTCATACCAATGGAATATAGGGAACAGTAGCAATTAAATGAACTTGAAATTAAATCTCATTGGAGTTGTCCTCAACAAAAAAACTTTACTTGCCCAATATTGTAAAAATTACATATTTTATCAGCAAGTGAATATATACATTATGTTTAAAAGATGTTTTTGTTTCTCAGGTATCAGCCACATTTGCAGCAAGCCTAGTCACGAGCCCTGCACTGGGAGCCTACCTCTCACAGATTTATAGTGATAACTTAGTGGTGGCACTGGCATCAGCTATAGCACTACTTGATGTGTTTTTTATTCTGGTTGCAGTACCAGAGTCTCTGCCAGAAAAACTAAGACCATTATCATGGGGAGCTAATATTTCATGGGAGCATGCTGATCCTTTTTCTGTAAGTTACAATCAATCTTGTAACAAAAGGGTTTTAAACCATATATTTTCGTACTTTTTTTTTAAATTGAAAAGTAACTTTTTTCAATGTGGCTAATTTTCATTACAAATTGGTATTATGAAAGTTTTTTTTGTAAATATGAAACCTTTAATTCTCTCAACATGGGATCGGTCAATTTGACCAAGTCATATGACCTTTTTTACTCGTTTAAAGTTTCTATAAATTTAATACTCATAACTCTCAGTATATTGGGTATATCTTCACAAAATTTGGCAGTCTTTCAGTTAATATTACAAGTCTTTCACATACAAAAAGTCATATTTCTTAGTGAAGTATTTTTGATAAAATAAAATAAAGATTTGTCCATGAATATATGGAGTATTTGTTTTGAATAGTCCGGGTGCAAAGTAATTTTCATGTTAAAATTAAAAATACTTTTCATCATCTCAATCTCAAAATTCCTCTGTGTAATCCCTAAAAACCTCCTAATTGCATTTCAAACGCTTTTTTCACTAAAACTTTATAGGTTATTTGTTCTTTTCTCTATCTATCTCAAAACGGGATTGGTCAATTCGACCGACCTTGTAACCACCAAAAAAAAATCAAAATAAACCTAAATTATCCTTTTTTCTTTATAGAATGACTTCAAATTGTAACATGAAACTACATTCGTTTTTCCTAAATTGCTCTAAGTTTGTAACATTATACATCTATTTACAATTAAATTTTATTGTTTTATTGCCCTTTTAACCGTGTCTAACTACTATCCGCACCATTATAAGTTGTAAATCACTCGGGAACATGCAGCTCACGTTACGTCATCAAATTACATTACTCACGAGCTGCTTGCATGTGTGCATCATGCACCATTTTATTTATATCATTATTATTATTTATTTTACCTACTCTAATCTTAAATAACTTAAAAAGATTTGTAT